CCTCTGCAGGACCCTCCCCAGCCCTTCCTTGCCTGTCTTGAGCTGGGAGATCAGACCTGGAACCAGTACTGCAGATGTGGCCCCAGTGGGGGAGAGCAGAGGGGGAGGATCACCTCTCATCCTGCTGGCCACTCTCCTCCCCATGCACCCCAGGATACTGCTGACATCCTCAGCCCCCAAGGCACTGCTGGCTCTTGGACCCCTTGTTGTCCACCTGGACACCTGGACCTGTCTTAAGCTGCAGCAGGTCAGTCCCAGCCTGTGGGGTGCTGTGAGAAGCTGATTTAGTGCAAACACTGCTTATAGCAGCAGCTGAAGCATCACTGTGGGATCGACATGATTCTCATCCTAAATGCAGAATAAAGCACTGTACCAGCCACTAAGAAGCAGGAATTATCCTAGGAGAAACCAGGACACCCGCTAGTGACATCAACTTACAGAAATGGTCAGGTCTAAGAAATAGAACTGGGCTGTTTCCAGAGCCTTAATCCTTCATCAGAGGGAATTTAGAAACTGCATTTGATGCAGTTAGATTGTGTAAACCACATTCTTGGAGTTAAAGCAAGTGTCTGTTACAGCATGTCTTATACACAGCATGCCCTTAAATCACAAATATTTACGTTCCACAGGACTGTGGATCCTTTGTAGTGCTCTGGACAGTTGTCAGCAAAGTTGACAAAATCAGGGAGTTGGGGCTGGAAATTTTGCTCTGTTAACCTGTGTGTTCTGTTGTCAGAATTTCTGCAGCCATTTTCCGCTTTCTGTGGCAGAATGTAACAGCATCAAGGTGCTTGGGGATTGCAGTACAGTCTGAAGAGCCTCTTCCAAGTTAGTGCTCCTTGTTTCTCTTCATTTAGCTGTGTAAAGAAAATAATGGAAAATACAAGTGTTGAAGTGTATTGCACAGAGTAGGAAGCAGGTTCTAGAGACCACTCTCAAAAAGGTAAGCAAGCCATTTGCCACAACACCCATCACCTCATACTGACTAATAATCTATCCAGTCCTGGGGGAAAAATAAGAAATGGACAAGACAATGCAAGGAACATTGGCAAAATGCTTTTATGTTGTTTGCTGTGGACTGCAAGCTCTAATAATAAAATAAAAAGAAAATACAAGCCCACCCGCAGCTGCCCCTGCCCTCCCTGGTACCCTCCCCACTTCCCCCTGGGCCCAGCCAAACTTCATCTTCTCAAGCACCCAAGGAGTACCCACAGTCAGGGTTCCCAGAAACTAATGGGAAAAATTCTATGGGTGAGGAGGGACAAAAGAAAGGACACCTAATCCCCAACAAACAGTTGCTACAGATACTTGTTAGGAAGCGTCTTTGCTTTGGAGACGTTTGTATTTTAGATACCTGTGTGGATAGGTGGTAGGAGGTGCACATTTCTGCCCTGGTGATTAGCTCAGTTTGGGTGGTCATGCACAATCGGCACTTTGGGTGAAGATTGATGGTACTTCAGTAGAAGAGATATTTGCTCAAGACATGAATTATATCTTTTCATATATTAAGACATAAAATACCTAATTAAAGATATACATTATAGTCTTTAATTATAAAAAGTGATGATTTAATCCAAGAAATGTGTGTAGTCTATGTACATAAGCTTTTCTAAGAAAAAACTTACTACTACTGAAACAATTAGTTATTTTATTTGCTTACCTAGTAGAAACTCAATGCAGGCAGTCTGATTTTTCTGAGGCACGGTGTCATAAATTATAATATTAGCTTTTGGTCTATTAAAACATCGTCATATGAATGAGGATTAGTTAAAGATTTTAAATGTATACAGTCTATGAGTACCCCCAGTTTTACAGCTATATTTTGTCTGTTTCAGATTTTGCAGAAATTCATTAGTTATTGTCAAGGCTGAGATTTTTGTGGTTCAGTGCTTTAAATCTTTTTCTTTTTTTCTTTTTTTTTTGGTTCCATGTCAGATTAAATTTACTTGTAGGTGGCTGTAAGGTTTTCTCCATTAATGAACTTGTGTTATTCTCATTGCTGGTTTCCTTTCAAAGGCATCAGTGGCTGACAGGCAGTGATCTTTCTCCAATCTTGGCAACAGGCTGTTGCTGTGGTAGAGGCTATTGTTCGCTAATGGAGACTTGCTTTCATAAAATAATGTAGAATTTGTAGAGCATTCCTTCTTCTGCATTTGCTTTGCTGCTTTTTGAGCTTGTATTTTTCATTTAATTACAGTTTCTTAAGTAGACAATGTAGGAGGCCTGTTTGTAATTGAGTTTTGGTAATTAAAAGAAAGGAGAGGAAACAAGTATATAAATGCACTTGTGTGATCCCTTTTTATTATCTGTGTGGCTTTCGAGCTTGGCTTCCTGTTCCTGATAATAATTTTTCCTGTTTCATATTTACCTGGCAGGTAAACACAGTTTTAGCTGGTGAATTATATGCTGTCAAAATTGAGAGGAATTAACTCTTGGATTTCAATCAGTGACCTGTTACTGCATTTATTTTTTTCCAGAACTTTTCCTGTGATACTGTTGTGACATAAACATTTGCCTCCAGATGCTATCCCAAACTTTCCCAGGGTTTGGGGGAGTTGGTGGCTGCTAGGTAGTTTCCCGAGCTGTATGGCAGGATCCCTTCTTTCCCAGTGGCAGTGGCACACCTTACCCTTCAGATGTTTGGGAGCTGAGTGCTTGAAGTATTTCGGTGTGCCCTGCCCTCTGACATTCACCTTTAGCTCCCCAGTACTTGAGCCCTGGCAGCAGGCAGGGTAACACAAATAGCTACGGGTGGCACAGCAGTTGCATTTGCAAGTACTTGTAAATAAACCAAGCAGAGAGAGGAAGGAACAGTATTTCCTAAAACTCATAGAACAAACATGCTGATTTTAGAGGGGAGTAGTTTTCTTGGATACCACATGAAGTTAAATTTGCATTTGGTCCCACCCCCAAACACTTAGGTACTGCAGACTAACTCCTCTAACAGCACCAAGGAATACTTGGTACATACATTTTTCTGAAGCGCCCCTGTCATCTTCTGGACCTTCATGTCCATTTAAATCCCTGGCTCAGGGAGTATTGAATGCTCTTTCTGCTGCCTCACAGCACAGTGTGCAGGCTGTGAGGTACCTCCAGTCACCCAGCAGGTGTGAGACAGCAATTACTGTGGCACAAACAACTGAAGGAGTCAAATGCATTGAGCTCATTGTTCTAATTTATGTGACAGCAGAGAACACCTTGGTGTCCATCAATTGGTTCCATTTGGAGTAAAACCTGGGGATATATAATGCAGTCAGTGATAACAGTGATGATGATGATGTAGATGTTATCCTCATATGTTGCAGTGCATCCAGCAGTATCTCTAAGATGTTTTCACTGTGATTTGAAAAATAAGAGTGCTTTTCTAATCAATATAGTTATTGTTCTTAAATCATGCCGTAGCGTTTTAGCTTCTCATATCTGAAAGTGTTCACCTCTAGCATTTGTCATCTGAGCCCACTGTCATGTCTGTAAAGGAGAGCTGAAAATTAATCATATCTGGTGTCAGTTCAGAAGCTGTGATATAGCAGTTAATAGCAAAAAAAAACTTCAAATGTTTATACTTCGTATTCAAAGTTGGAGATAAAGCTCTTCATTGTATCTGTGTTATTCCTGAAGAGTCGGCACAGGATGTTTTTAGCACTTCATAGAAAACTATCGGACACCTTCCAGGTTTCTGGCTGTGCTGGATGATCTGTAAATATAGCTGGAGGTGGTACAGAAGAGCCTTTGAAGGTAGAGCTGGTAAAACGCCAGAGACACAGCTCCTGCACTAAATGTCGAATAGCCCCTGGATTGTTTCTTTGCTTTTGAGGCAATGTTCACATTTTCATCTTTGTTCTCACCCCAGCTTAGTTCAGTTTGCCTTGCAGATCATCTCCCTGCTTGCTCTGGGTAATGTGCCAAGTGCTCAGCCCAAGATTAAGTTACAGCCAGAGCTGCTGGACATGAAGGTGCTGTAACTGTAGATGTCTGTGCTTATGTTTCAGCCTTGCTGCAACTGAATTCAAAAATCTGAACAGGAAACCTCGGTGGCAGAGTTTAACTTTAACAGAATAGGCTTTAAGCTTATATTGCAGTTTAATTGATAATTCTTTTTAATACTTTGAACTTCTGATTATTCTGATTTTTTTTTAATAAACATTGAGGTAAAGAGAGTTAAGCTGGCAGATTTTCTCATGAAGTGGTGGAGACTCTGAGGCCTCAGAAGGTATGATGACAAGTAATGACTAGCTCAAGAACTATCCCAGTTCTTAAAAGCACGTGAAAATAATCTGAACTGTTAACATAGGTAAAATCATTTCAGCTGTTGTTAGAGTTGACTGCAAATATTAGGAAGCAGAAACTGCAGAACAAGTGAAAAAGTTTCCCTTCTTGTTCTTTCCTCTTGTTCTTTAAAATGTGTTGCGAGAAACTTCAAGTGATAAGCATTTTAAGTTAGAAAAGTGGTGGTGTTTGCTTTCTGTGTTTTATTTTAAATCTGTTGTAGTTCTTTTAACCTACGTATCTAACTGGACACTTTGCATTAAGGATTGAGCTTTCTGATTTTAACATCTGATGCTAAATTTTTGACTCTTTAGAGTTGCCATCCCAAGCAACTTTTTCTGAACTTGTTAATTTCTTAATATTTTCAAGGTTCAAAGCATATTTTTTACATATCAAGCAGTTGTATTTTCCAAAGTTAGTGTTTTGGAATATTTGTGTTGTTTCTTGTAGAAAACAGAGTTTGACACAAGCAGTAGTACTTGATCTCCAGAAATGTCGTTAGGGCTCCGTGATGTACAAGTCCAGACCTCCAGCCTCCTGCTCTACTCAAAGGTTAAAAATAATCAATTCATTACAGTTTGGATGAAAATGTTAGTGGAGCTAAAGAAAGGAGATGTTTTTTAAAGATCCAGTCAGATGGGGAGTGATGATGACATGATGATACTCTAAAGAAATATATTAAACTGTGTTCATCGTCATACTAACAGCAACTGTTTTGCTTCCTTTTGATGCAGATCACCAGAAACTGGAAAGAGAAGCCAGAATCTGTCGCCTCCTGAAGCATCCTAATATTGGTAGGAACATTTTGTTGCTTCATACAGTGTTTATCAGTTTAGAAAATATAGGGGAAATGGAAATTAACAAATATCAAAGAGTAGCTCAGAAATCAAGTGCGAATATCTCCAGGCAAGACTCTTCCTTTATTATGTGGTGCTCCTTATGAATTCTGCTATGGGATGCAATAATCTGATGGATCACCCAGAGCGGCGTGCAGTGTTCTCATCTTTGAGCCATTGCTCTGCCATCAATGAACTCTCTGTGCCAGGTATTTGGGGAGTTTTGAGCAGTGTGCAGGAGGGACTGTTTCCAGGATTGTTCCTGATTTTTGGAGACCTGCAGAAGAATTTCAGCTGGCAGTGTCTCTTGCACAGTGAGACAGACCAATGTCAATAATTAGTGCTGGTTTTAGTGAGATGCTTATTTTATACTGTGTTTTGTGTTTGAGATTCTGTCCTTCCAAGATGAAGAAAGCTCTGCTCCTTTTATTTCCAGAGTCGTGTTTTCTAACCATGTAAAGCAAAAAATAAAGTTATTTTGGAGGGTGGGGTGTGTCTGTCTCCTTGCTTTAGAAATAGTGTAAACAGGTAAGTACCTCTATCTTAAGAGAACTGTCGCTGTGTTTTTCAGTTTTTCATGCACTGAATTATATGCCAAGGGTGTCTCTCACAAGAATATTTGCTATACCTGAGACTTTTGCAGAAGGGTGGGAATTTCCTGTCCATTAGGGTGTTTCCAGACTACTAAAATTGTCTGATGGCTTGGATGAAATCAGCTCCTTCCTTTTAATGATTAAGTGAAAGTGAAAGCAAGTATAGCGCAACTCAAGACGACATGTCAAATTTCTGCAGCATCTCTCTTAAGCTTACAGGTTTGACCTAGAAATTTGGTTAAGAAGGAAGAGAATCGTTATCTGTGCTATTTTATCCCACCAAAGGTTTTGCATTGTAAAGTGGTGAGAAATAAGGGAACGTACAAGTCCTTTTAGGGAGGAGGTGCAGCCCTTCTGCAGCTGTGGTTACACATATGGTGTAGTCAGACTCCAGAGCCATTCGCCTGGGCCGTACTGGAACCAGAACATATTCCTGAGCTTCCACAAGCCAGGGAAAACAAACCAAATGCAGCAGTGAACTGATGTAGGGGAAGGGCTGAAATGCACAGAACTCAGTTGAAACAGAAGTCTAAATTGGTTCCATGTGGTCACAAGTCTATATCTTGTCGAGTGGTTTGGAGCAGTGTTAGGATGGGGTTCAGCTGCTCTGTGGCAAGCCAGCTGTTCCACATGCTCAGTTTGTATCTGTGAGCTTTGGCTTGGAGTGCAAACAGGCAGTGACAGCTTTGGTGACAGGCAGGTAGGGCTCTGCAAGTCTGCACAAACTGTGCATCACCACCTGCACCAAAGTGCACAGTTTAAGGGATAATGGACAAAGAGTTCTGCTCCTGTTTCAGAAAAACTGCCATGTTCTAGATCTGTCTGAGAGAAGGTTTTTGTGACCTGGAATTGGCATGCCAGGGTTTGGCAGCAGGCGTCGTTTCTGTCATATCCCTTCTCCGGCAGCCATGCCCTCAGCCAGCTAAATGATGACCGTAAAATCATTCCAAGTGCTGCCAGCACCCTGCTGGAGCTCTTATGCTTGGGTCACTATCACATCCCCTTTTAAACTGTCATCTCTGGTGAGTAATGGAGCTGCACCACACTGAGAAGCACTAAGAGTGAAAAAGGAAGTGTGCCAGAGGAAGGGAGCTCAGCTCTGACATCAAGTAAGTTAAGAAAAATAAGAAAAAAATGGTAACTGCTTTTTTTCAGTGGGATTTCTGTAGGAAAGCAGAGATCTAGTTTGAGAAACCACCCAACCAATTAAAGATGACCGTGTACAGGCAGTTATTTTTGGAAAGCTAAATATTGTTGAAGAAAGGCCAAATGTTAAATGATTCTGTTTCTGTGCAGTCCTTACTGTTCACATTCATAGCCAAGAGGTATCACAGAAATCTTCCTTGTAGAAGTTGTTTCCCTTCTTTTACAGGCAGAGCTCCAGTACATCTCTGAAAGTTGAGATTTTCTATGCAGACACTGCTTTGCACATAAGTAATTCAGTTCATTTTTCAGCATCTCTTTCTTTCATTCATCCTTTTAAGAAATGTATTATTTCTTCTCTGTCCAGCCTTGTAGGTATGATGCCTAATGAGTGGTGTCAGAAAAATAAGGCAAGTGGATTACAGTGTTTTCTGTTCTCTAATTTCAAATCTCCATTTCCCACTTAAGTAATCTATATGTGAAAGTTTGTTTAGAAGAATTTCCTCATCGTTTCCAGTTGCACCTCACCAATACTCCTTGTTGTGATTTCTGCCTCTTCTGACCTCAATGCTTTGTATTGCTGCAGTAGAAAGCGAGCCCTGCTGAATTTTGTCTGGGAATTAAAATGAGGCAAAAGCCATTAGCTGAACTTGCAGGCCACTTGCAGGCCCTGAGAACCAACTTTGAGGGGGCTCAGAATTCTTTCTTCCCTGTCAGTCTTTGGCAATACTGGTATTTTCTCCTCTTCCAGCTATGCTGGAGTAATTTGACCTCTCCTGCCCTGCACTAGGAAATTTCTAGGCAAACACAGCTCATGTTCCTGTGCTAACAGCTCCTGGGCTGCAGGAGTTCGTGCATTAGTGTGATTTTCAGCATTGCCATGTTTCTCAGGTTCTTACTGTGGTGACATGGCTGTACATCAGTATGTAGAGGGTTGCTTTTTTACAGAGTTGACAATGGATGGAAATGTAGGTTAAGCCTTGCTGTTCAGAGAATCTAGCGCTTTTTCTTTGTGAGGTTGCACATCAGCTTACATTAAAAGCTTACCTTCTTTGCTGAGCACATACCCACACAGAATTTGTCATCTTGGGTAACTATTACCTTTCTAGCAGTTCCCTGTGTACTAATGCTCCCAATTTTTTAATTTAGAAGTTTGGAAAGAAAACTGCTAAGTAACCATCTCTCCACCGAGAAATCCATTGTCATTTTCCTGATTTCTCACCTTTATCTTCTTTTGGTAAACTTTGATTTCTTTGTTCTCTTTTAACTTTGGGTAAAGTTAGTTTTAGCACTCTGATTTCTAGTCTTGCAATCAACATATTTTTGGTGGTGTAACACTGTTGCACCATCTTGTTGCGACGTTTGGCATTGATTTACAACTGCTTTGCTGATTTTGGTTTATGAGATCCCAAATAATTTTAAAATCTGCATTAGCCTGATGATACAAGCTCTGACCCATTCTGGAAAACTGCTGATTCAAACCTGATAAAACCATGGAGGTTTTTTCCCAAGTGGAGTTTGCTCTTGCAGGGTTTGTGCTGCATTTGAGTAGTATTTTCCTAATGGGAGTTAGACTGTGAAGATCTCTCTGTAACTATTGGAGGGGCTTCTGCTGGCTTTGCATTCTCACTTGCTTACAGCCCATCATTCCCTGCCTCTGCCACCTCCTCCCAGGCCTTCCAGACAGTGTACAAGCTATGGCAGGCAGGCAGGGTCCATTAGCCAGCAACATCAGGCTCAAGTCTGGCTCTGATCAATCTTCAGCCCTTCCCCAAAGGCAGCAGCAGATTTTACTGACACGTGGCAGCCCTTCGGGTGATAAATGAAGTCCTTTTGGCACAAGGCCTGGCTGTCCCTGAATGGCTCAGTAAGTCAGGGTACTTAGAGGTAAGCAGGACTGCCAGGCAGAGATGGGGCCCATTCCTGCGGATCTGCTGGTTCAGCCATGCTGAGGCATCACCACAGGTGTGCTCTGACAGCAGGATGGGCTCTGCTCCTTGAACAACTGGAGCTGCACCAGCAGATGGGAGCATGGGGCAGTGTCTTCCCAAGGCAGGCTGGTGTTGGAGCAGGCCAAGAGGCAGCCTAGATTTAGAACAGACTGGTGCACAGGAAAAAAGACAAATCCCTACTCTGGTTTCATGAGTGTGTTGGTGTCCATTTGGAGTCTGCTCCTTTCCATGCTTTGAGCTGGGAACTTCTCATCAATGGCTCAGGAAATTGCTATCACCCCTACTTGGTACTGCTCCTCACCACACTGTGCTGGTGTCCAGCTTACTCCTTTTGCCACAAGTAGGAAAAGTCTGCATTTTGGGGTCACTTCTCTTCCCACCGTAACATAAAGCATGAGTGTTGAAGTGGTTAAATTCCTCACATGGGGGAAAATAAGAAACTGCATATTGCCTTGTCGCTTTTGAACAGAGGATAATTCAAGATATGTAGGGGGGCTTGTGACTTTATGCACATGTCCTTTATGCTTGTATTCACCAAGTATGCATAAAGTCCCAAGAATCTCAAGAGAAACACTATTAATGTGTAGAAAATGTGAATGCAGTAACTCCTTTCTGTATTTCTTTTATCTTACTGTGGCACAGTTGTGAGTAACTCAGCTGGTATTAGTTAAGTTACTTTCTAAACCAAACACAGGGTAAAAATCAGGCCTGTTCAAGTTGAGCAGATGTAGTTCCTGAGCACACTTATTTCTCTGAGTTTAATTTAAGGTTTTACTTCATGTCAAAAATATATGGTTCATTTCTGATGCGGTGAAAATCAAACCAATCCCCAGCTATATAAATTTATGCTCCATAAGTATGGTCCCCAGGGATGTATTAACTATAGCTGTGCAACTAAATAAATAGAACTTTTCCTATAAATATAAAGCTCTAGTTTACATGGGACTGATGCATTAGAGAATCTCACTTCCTTTAATTATTTTTATTGCTTAGATGAGCTGATCACTTCAACAGTTTTAAATCTCATCCATTCTGTTGAATTAATTAAATTTGCAATTTCCGTGATGCATTCACTCCTTGAGAAGGTGAACCATTCACTCCTTGAGAGGATTAAAATAAAATATCAAGAAACCAAATAAACCAGTGATATGACATGATTTAATATTTAATGTAAGAGCCAATTTAATGAGTATTATAAAATATCAGATTTGAATGTTTAAAGTCAGCCATGGTTACAGCAAGTAACTGACTAGTGGAGTGCAACAACAGA